GGGCCCCCTGCCGGCTCTCCCCGCTGCAGTCGAAGAAAACCCGCGGGCGGATGCCTCGCCGCCTGAGCTCGCGGAAAAAGACGCGTCGCGAGAGAAATCCAGGAGGCAGCGACAAACGAAAAGCACAGTGACGCCCCCACGCGTTTGTATGTCTCCTCCTCCATAGCCGTTTTTTTTTTTCCTCTTTTTTCTTTTGCTTGAAGGTCAAGTGCCACTTCCTCCCCCTCCTCCGCCCCCCCACACACACACACACACACACGCACGGGCCTCCTATTTTGATTCCAGCCTTCCCTCTTCGCACACTCGCCCCAAGTGCGCCTGCTCGTCCGCGGCGGACGGAGCCTTTACGTCTTCTTGGACTCACCCCCGCCGCCGCTGCGCCCCTCGCTCGGTCCACGCGAGGGAAGGCAAAATACACACACACACACACATACAACAACCACACACGCAGGCATCCGTGCACGGGTATTCGCTTAGTTAATTTTGCTAAGAACCTCCGCGACGTCAAAAGGGGCAAACGCATGACCGTCTGCGAGGTAAAACTTGTTGTTGAACTCCACCCAGTGCAGACGGAGGGCGTGCAGGAAGGCAGAGAGGGACTCCATGCCCAGCAGCACCCCAAGCGTGGCACACATCCACACACAGAAGCCAATAAAAACAAATACGCCCGACCCACCGTCCAGGCCGACCGTCAAGAGGAATGCAAAGTTCCAGAAGACTTCTGACAGCTGCGAGTGTGCGAGCGAGAGGGCCCAGAGACGCAAGTAGGACGCCGTGTTGGAAACGCACCCCAGGACGTACTCAATCGTGTGGATAACCTGATGAATCATGACCTCGCTAAACTCAAACTCATCCTCCTCGTCATCCTCCTCATGAAGGATCAACTTACGTTTCACCTTCGCATCATGGTGCTTCTTTTCCATTATCGGAATAACACAAAGAAGAATAGGCACCATCGCAAACGAAATGAGCAGCAGTATCACCTGAATCGCCGCCTGCCCCTTGAACAGAGGGAGACTCACCACGCCCGGCTGCAGGAAGAAATTTGTCATGGTCTCCAGCAGCGACGGGGCATCATGTGTGCGATTTTCCCACGGCGTACACCACTTGATGACAATGAGAAGGCACATGTAGCCAAAGGTAAAGGAGAGGAAGACGATTTCGGGGACGAAGCGAAACCACACCTGGAGCTTGTCGCCAAAGTAAATGTGATTCAGCAAGGAGAGAACAACCCCCACCATCATCTGGACGACACCAATGATAACGGAGCACTTCATCTTAATAGAGTTGTAGAACTCCAGCTTGTTCTCTGTCTCCGCCCACGCAGAGTCGACGCCGAAGATAACGGGCCTCGCAGGCGTCACGCCGACGGGCGAGGAGGGGCGCACCGTTCCGCCTGGCCCGTTCGGCGGCAGCGGCGGCCAGCGGTAGCCCGAGGCAAACACCTCCACGGAGAAGCCAAACATGTCGTTGTAAAGGAGCCCGAGGTAGACGGCAAAGAGTCCCATGAACAAGAGCAAGTATCTACCACCAAAAATCATGGCAAAAATTTCATTGAGCGGCTTCCCCTCCCAGCTTTTCTCCATGAATATAAGAAATCCCGCAAAGAAGGTCAAGATAAGGCCATGGCCAATATCGCCGTACATCACACCAAATAGGTAGGGAAAAGTAATGATGGTAAAAACGCCCGGATTCACCTCCTTGTAGCGCGCCATGCCGTAGCTGTCGACAATGCCCTGAAAGGAGCTCGTTATCTTGTTGGTTCGAAAGTACGTGGGGCGCGTCTCCTTCGACGGGATCTCCTCCACAATCGTCAGCACCTGAGCCCCGCTCAAGTACTCCGCCTCCTGCAAGGCGGTCCGTATGTCGTCTAGTGAACGCGCCGGGGCCCAGCCTTTCGCCACAACCGTCGCACCGCTGAACCGCAGCATGTTCATCGTGGAGTACACGGCCTTCTCGACTGCGATTGCGCGGCGCCACTCGTACACGCTGCCAGAAAGTCCCATCAACAACTGCCGTTGACGAAGTGCGGACTGCTGAAGCGTGTGTGTGACTGTCTCCACTTGATTTTGAAGGGACTCCCGCATGCCTTGCAGCTGCTCCTCGTTCTCTGCGTAGGCGTAGAGTGTGCCGCCGTTAGCCTCGCTAATCTTCCCAATCGTCTCCCGCAGACGGGGCACGGGAAAGTATATACCGAAGACGCACTTATGAATTGGTTGATTTGTCGCAACACTGTAAAACGGCGTCGCAATATCGTCTGTCTGCATCACAGAGTTCCCACGGGTGGTGCGGTAGACAAGTCGCTCCAATATCGCTATGCGTTCCTTGGGAATCACACCCGTAATCAAATTGAGGCCCTGCCCTCTTGTGGTGGAGGCGCTGAAGTCGCGGTTGAGCACCTCCAGGTGCTCGCGGGACCGGTTTCGCTCCTCGATGAGGGACTGGTACTGCTCGTTCAACTCCCGCACCTCCGACTCCCGCTCGTCCACCTTATGCTCGAGGGAGAACATCGTCTCCCGCTCTCCCACCTGTCCGGGGACGCCTGTCACCCCTGCCCGCTCGATCTCTTCGTGCAGGTAGCGCAGTTTCCGCTCCATCTCATCGCAGCGGCGCACCTCCTGCACGAAGTCGCGCTGAAATGCGCTTACATCGGTGTTTAGGTCAAGGAACTGAAACTCTGCGAGCTGCCCGAGCTTCAGCACGGAATCATGCGCAGTCTCTCGCTGCATGGTGAGCTGCAGCATTACCATGTCCTCCGACCGCCATAGACCGCTGGCGGCTTCACGCGGCATTGCCTGTTACCACCCACTCTCCCTTATAAAAAAAAAGGAAGGAAACGAAAAACTCCCTATATGTAAATAAC